GTGTACCACTGAATCAAAGGCTTTACAGAAGTCTATGTAGATTGTGTCTATTGCTTTGCCCTGATCAAGTTGAGTAGACCATATGTTTCTGCAGTGTAAGAATTACAGATTACAGGATAGTTTTTTTCTGAAACCAAATATTAGAGAGTAGGTTGTTTGTCTCTAAGTGGAGGATAATTGATTGGTTAATAATTGATTCCATGGCTTTACAGGTGATGCAGCATAAAGAGATTGGTTTGTAATTTTCAACTAGACTGGGGTCTCCCTTTTTGAAGATGGGGATGACCGTGGCTTGAGAACATAGGTTAGGCAAGGAGTTGGTCCTGAAAGATTTTTCAAAGATTATGCTTAGAGGTTCTGCTATGGCAGTGGATAGCTTTTCTAAGAAGTAGGCACATATTCCGTCCAGTCCAATAGATAGAGATAGTTTTAGATTGTGTAGTGCTTTTTCAACATTGTCTTCTGTGAAATTGATATGTATTGTATCATTGTAGTTGCCTGTGGTTTGACTAGGAAATACTGGGCATGATCCATTGCTGTTTACAAATACTGAGCCAAAGAATGTGTTAAATAGATTGGCTTTAATGGTGTCATCATTGCAGTCCATACCATTTGGTCCTTTCAGAGGTGGGATGGACCTTGGGTCTTTTAGTTTGTTTTTACAAATTGTAGAAAGCATGGGTGGAATTGGTACGTAGAAGGTTTTCCTTTTGTTTAATGTGATAATTGGTGCATTCAGTCTTTATCTGGTGGCATAAATTTTTGTATCGACTTTTGAAGTTGGCAACGTGACCAGATTTGTTTTTCCACCAAAGTGATTTCTTTTTGGATTGAAGCTTCCTTATTGTTATGGGTAATTTGTTTTTTCTGGTTTTGGAAGTTGTTATTGGTACATATAGTTTGATGACTCTTTTGACTTCAAGTAAAAAAATGTTGTAATGATCTTCAACAATATTGCATCCAGTGAATAGAAATTGCTGATAAAGGGATGAGAGATCGTTGTTTATAAGATCATAGTTGCCTTTTTTGAAGTTATAATCGGGGATTCCATTGTTGTTATGATTTTTGTGTGGACGTATGTTGAGACAAAAGTCAATCATGTTGTGGTCACTGTTGGAAAAGGGTTCTTTAATTTGTATTCCATAAATGGAAATCAAACTATTGTAGGACATGAGATCAAGGCAGTTATTAAGTCTAGTATTGTTGGTTACTAGTTGTTCTAGTCCCAGATTTATTACAGCATTGTAGAAGGTTGCATGTGTGGGTTCAGTTGTACATTCAGTTGTACAGTCCAGTTAATATGAGGTAGATTGAAGTCCCATTATCATTACCAAAAATGAAAATTCAAAATGTTGTTAATACATTTTAAAGCAGAAAGAATAAATTGAGATATCAAATAGTCCTTGAGTTAAAAGCTTTCTTTTAAATTGTGGAAATGTGTTTGCTTGTTTATTATCACCATAAGATTATGATTTAATAAAAATAGAAGCTCAGAACAGGATCAAGTGGTGACACTTAAGAACAATGTCTGTTTTTAAGATGCTGCAGAGAATGATTCAGAAGTGTCCCAGGACAGCTTGCATGTAAACTTCCACCATTTCAGCACATTCAAACAAAGCAAACAGATTGAATTAACATTAATTATAATAATATTAAAATTATCTAGCAAAATTAAGTATTATTAAAAAGTGAGAAAGTAAGAACTCTTTGATTCTTTTGAAGGCTTATGTCAGCGTTCCAGAAAAGCCAAACTCTAACACCAAAACTCTGAGGCAGGCATTTATTAGAGTAGTCATACTGGCACATCTGGGAAAACCCACATCTGAGAGTTCTGGATTTTCCCACAGTATTTCAAAACATAAATCAATCCCCTGCACTCAGCAATCCATCACATGGTCCAATAACCATCTGTCCCCACTTGAGACATTCTCTAACCACTAATCATCCAAGTGCAGGAAAGACATGACCTTGACTGCAAGGAAGAATGCTATTATGTCTAATTACATACACTCTACAAAATCCTAGCTCCCAATTTCCCAGGCACAGGAATGTGGCAGCGTGGAAGCTTCTGGTGCTAATATAGCTTCCAAAGCTGACAGCCTATGGTCAAATCAAAATTCTGATGTTCTGTTATATAAACTGGGAAAAATAACTGAGAAGATCTCTTGATCCCTAATCAGCATGAGTTGGTTGCACCTAAAACAGCTTTATCCTGACAGTTTTCGAGATGATTACTTCAAAAAATATAAAATATACTGGGTAAGAAAAAGCTCTGTTGGGATACATGAACAAAATTTGGATATTCCTGAGTATTTCCTGATCAATTTTATCTGAAATCTTCTTTCATGGACATAAGATACTAAATAATGATGGTAGCAATAACTAGTCCATAAATTGGGAGAAACATGATATTCAAACATTACATTTCAAAAAATATAATCCAGTTAATTATTTTAATTATAACATAATTATTAAATATAACATAATTATTTTTTGTTTCATAAAGGAATGAATTAATGATGTTCCACGTATCTCTATTTTTCTATGATTGAAGAAAAGTCTTATACATGTATTGTTCTCCAACCTTTATGATTATCTTTTTACAATTTACTATATATCTGCCAATGGTGCTATCTATAGCATACAACATAATAATGCCTTAAGCAGTCTATAAAAACCCTTAATGCTTGCATTATTATGCTCATGTTAACATATACTACTTTGGACTCTCCTCGTGGGGGATAGAGTTTGTGGCTATCTATTGGGTTTTCCTGATGATTTTATAATTCTTGTGTATGTCAAGTTTATTTATTTATTTATTAAATTGATATGCAGCCCATCACACTATGAAAAGTAACATTTTTCTGGGTGACTTCCAATTAAAATCACAAATATAAATATATATTAAAACATCAAATGCAAAGGCAAGACACAAAAGAGGCAAGATTGGGACATTCTTGCTGATTTCCCCATTGAGTTTACATATGAGGATCTGTCAGGGAATATCTGAAATCTCTCTCTTCCCTTCTTCCCTCCCTTCCTTCTTTCCCCCTCCCTTTCCCTTCCCTTTCAATGTTCAGGTAAGTCAGTATTACTTGGAGGGAAGTGAAAGATTATGAGACTGACTGTGAAACTGTCATGGAACATTGAAAATGAAGATCATAAGACAACTCAGCAGCCCTGCAGCAGCTAGTAACACTGAAGTAGCTATAACTTTCCCAAATATATTCCCTTGGCAGTCATGGGTCTTGAATGTTGAACACATTTGTAATATTCCCTATTTGAGATAAATGGTGCCTTTATGATGCACCATCTCACTCAGTGATAATGAAAATTTTTAGTAGTATAGAGATAGACAGGAGTCCCTGTGTGTATACTGTTAACAATTTTTCTTAACTGTTCATTGCTATTTAACCTACACAACAACATTGTAAAATATGATTTGTACCCAGGCAAGATTATGTATCCCAATATACATATACATCCCCATAGAGATTAGAAACAAACTTTTCTTTTTTGAAACTTTAAATTTTTTGAACATGAATCCAATCAAGTTTTCCTCAAATTCTGAGGTACATTCTTAAATAGATCCATACTTCCTCATTTCTCATATTTTCAATTATAATTGAATTATAATCAATTTTAAAAACTTTGCTCATATACCAAACACATGCCGGAGTATTTTGACCACCCACCCCAAATCAGCGGTTTAAAGTAAACAGACTTAAAAGAAGTGATATTAAAGAGAGAAATAATGAAAAAGGGATATTTTTGTGTATTATAAAGATTTTCTTTTTATTAGTTGTTCCCTGTTGTTTAGTTCTGGCCTAATAATGATTAGGTAACATTTTGGGAGATATATGCAGCCTAGCAACCCAGCACTGGAAGCCAGAATGGAGAAAACCTCCACAGCCACCATGTATTTGCCTTTGGTGCTCAGGTAGGATGGAACAAAGGAGACCCACACACTGCAGAAGATCAGCATGCTGAATGTGAGACATTTGGCCTCATTGAAACTGCTGGGGAGATTCCTGGAAAAAAATGCTACAGTGAAACTGGCAGCTGCCAGAAAGCCCATATAGCCCAGGACACAATAGAACATGGTAGTTGAGCCTTCATTGCACTGCAGTATGATTTCCTCTATTTCTGAATGGGTGTCAACATCAGGGAAAGGTGGAAATGTGAGCAACCATACTGTGCATATTCCTGTTTGAATTAAGGAACAAGAAAGAACAATGGAAATGGCCAATCTTCTTCCCACCCATTTCCTCAGACTGGATCCAGGTTTAGTGGCCATGAAAGCCAAAATCACTGTGATGGTTTTTGCCAGCACAGAAGACACAGCCACTGAAAAGATGATGCCAAAACTAATTTGTCGGAGGAGACATATTGTACTGCTTGGTACAACAAGGAACTGCAATGAGCAAAGAAAGCAGAGGAGGAGGGAGATTAGTAGAATGTAGCTGAGATTTCGGTCATTGGCCTTGACAATGGGAGTATTGTGGTACTTCAGAAATGTTGCCAGCATTACAATTGTACAGAGAGAAAAGAAAAACACCAGAGTAACTAAACTTATCCCCATTGGTTCCTTATAAGACAAGAAAGATATTTTCTTGGGAATACATGAATCTTGGTCTTTATTTGGATATTGACTTTCTGAACATTTTGAACAGTCATCCATATCTAGAATTGAAAGATATAAACACATATACATTTATTCTACAGTCATATCATTCTTAGTAATTATACAGTTGTTTTCTGCATGTAAGATTAGCCCTTATATTAATTATTTTTCTGATTTTTTTGCTCTTGTATTTGAGAAATATCAAACATAGAAGAACATGGTAGTTAAGTGATAAGGGTTGTGTGTGTTATTCTGTCTGGGAGCTGAAATCCCAAATGGCAAAGTGAAAGTATTAGCTATCATAGTTATACCAATAGCAAGCAATAGCACTTAGACTTACATACTGCTTCACAGTGCTTTACAGCCCGCTCTAAGCAGTTTACAGAGTCAGCATATTGCCCCCCAACAATCTGGGTCCTGATTTTACCAACCTTGGAAGTATGGAAGACTTAGTTAACCTTGAGCCAGTGAGATTGGAACTGCTGAAATGCTGGCAGTTAGTACTCAGCAGAATTAGCATGCAATTCAATACTGCATTCTTATCACGGCACCAGCATAGTGCACTCATAAATTTCTATTTCTATTTTATATTATCATATTTTATATCTGTTATTTGTACTATTTGTTAACAATCAAGAAAAAATTATTTCTCTGAAAGTAGCACAATTTTGCTAAACTTTATGAAAGCTTTCACCCACAAATGGTTGCTAATGATTTTGTTGTTATGGGATAGTTTGGTGTTCTTCATTTTATTGAATATACATTTATTGATCAATTATGAAGATAAAGATTTTGTCTGTCTTCTTAATAATGACTTCATTTCATGTTGCTTATTCATTATATTTGCTTAATATTGTGCATCTCTATATATCTCTTATTTTTACTACTACATAATTCTTCACAAGGTTTCCTAGAGACTATGATTGAAAATAATATAAATGTAAATAAATATAATAGCATTTTCTTTCTATCAGATACTTTATGATGTCTTTCAATTTTATATTCCTGTATAATAAAATAAAACTAATATTTACATCCATAAATACAAACTTTGCCGAAGGAGCAAAAGGAAATATATTCCTTATTCTCCTTACATTAAAAATTTCAGAAGCTTTCTGAATCAAGTGGAATAGTTTGTGTAGACATTAGAATGGAATTTTTTTAAAAATGTACCACAATCTCAATGTAAGAGAAACTACAAGCTTTAATCTTATTTTAATCTAGTCTGCTAAAAGTTGGGTAGTTTTTGTTTTTTGTTTGTTTTGTATAAATCACATCTAAAAGTTTTAAATGCATTCAGAAATAAATAAATGTGCCCTAGAATGATATGTCCTGAATAGACAAAGCATATAACTTAGCTCCTATATGTCTGTGTTCATGGATCTGCCTGGGCTAACCTGCAGAACTATAAGTCAACTTACCCTTCTGGATTGACATTTTCTCTTTGGGACATGGAGGACAATCATAGCAGCAAAACGGTTTTCCTTCCTGTTTTCTCTTAAAATAACCAGGGAAGCAGCTCTCTGTACAAACTGAAATGGGGGAGGTCTGTACAATAAAGAAAAAAAATAAAGTGTTAGCATTTAATCCTATATTTTGAAAATAAAATTGAAAAAAGCATGGTCAGCCTATACTGTATAAATTTAAATAATACAAATTTTAAAGTGTTTACATCAACTTCAATATAAAACTATTCAAGACTGAATTATTTTTATAATGTAATAATATAATATAAAATAAATACAATACAACACAGCATAACACAATACAATATAAACACCTCAAGGGGCAGATTTGGTGGAGCACTAGGTCTTTTTCTGCCATTAGTTCTTTATATTTCTAAATTTTCAATATACTTAAACTCTTATTGCTGAACATTACAGAAATTTAAATTTAAAGAAAAATAAACATATTTTCAGAGTTATGTAAAGAACCTAATTCAATACTTCCAAACTGGAGATGATTCTGTAAAAGGGGAGGAAATTTCACTTGGAAACTTCTGCATGTAAAAGCATAGCATTTAATAATTTTCTGGTTTTTGTCAATTGCTTATGGCTCTAATTATTTCAAGCTCCAACAAGTCCATAACAAAAATAACAAATCTTGCTAAGAAATCTTGCAATTTCTCAGATGGTTTAACAAGCCTTCTTTCCAATTTAGGACATAATGAGTCATATTGTAGAAAAATGATTGTTGAAAAAAAATTAAAGAATTTATCAGCCATAAAAATTAACACAAAATGCTTCAAGCTTAGGAGAGTGAGCAAATCTAAAAACCTGGGACCCTACATTGAAAAAAGGTCAGAATCTGTCAATGTTACATACATGTTTATCTATAGGTATGTTGATGATTTAAAAATTTAGTTAGTTATGTACATATTGATTTGCATAGTATTTTTTCTACAGCTTCATTTAACTGCTAAATGTGGAGAATGTTTTCTGAAATAGTCTCCTTAATTGTACTTAATAGCTAGACCATTGTGTTTAATAAAAACAGGAACAAGTTAAAAATTTGCTCTGCCTTTCATGGAAGATGAAATCATAGATAAGGGCGGACTTACTACAGGGAGATCTGGCTAGCCAAGGCTACTAAATATCTTACCATTTGTTTTCATGTTATTGATGATAACTCAATCAGAATAGAACTGGAAGGAACCTTGGAGATCTTCTAGGCCAACCCCATATTCAAGCAGGAAACCCTAAACCAGTCTCTTCTTAAAAACCTCCAGTGATGAAGCACCTATAACTTCTGAAGGCAAGTTGTTCCATTAGTTAATTGTTCTCACTATTAAGGAGTTTCTCCTTAATTCCAGTTTGCTTCTCTCCTTGGTTAGTTTCCATCCATTGTTTCTTGTCTTGCCCTCTGGTGCTTTGGAAGATAAGTTGACCCCTTCTTCTTTGTGGCAGTCCCTCAAATACTGGAATCCTGTTATCATGTCACTCCTAGTCCTTCTTTTCTCTAGATTGGCCAAAGCCAAATTCTGCAACCATTCTTCATATGTTTTAGTCTCCAGGCCTTTGATCATCAGTTGCTCATCTCTGAACCTTTTCCAAGATCTCAACATATTTTTGATAATGTGATAGCCAAAATTGGATGCAATATTCCACGTGTGGCCTTACTAAATTTTTATACAGCAGCACTAATATTTCACATGATTTTGATTTTATGCCTCTGTTTAAACAACCAAGGATTCTATTAGCTTTTTTGGTGGCTGCTGCTGTTGCACATTGCTGGCTCATATTTAAGTGATTGTCCAAGGTTACTCACAGTTACTGTTTTTGAGCCAGATCTCACCTAATCTGTACTTGTACCTTTGGTTTTTCCTGCCTAAGTGTAAAACCTTGCTTTTCTCCACATTAAATTTCATTTTGTTGGATTGGGCCAACTGTTGGATTATTCAAATATGTCATTCAATCAAAACCACTGGATTACCTCATCCAGAGGCTTTATGTAGATGTTCAATCATGGGGAGAAAAAACCCAAATCACCTGGAACTCTCAGGGGAGCAGTCTCTAGGACGATCTTGCCTTTCTCACAACTAAAGACTGAAATAAGCATTGTAGGAATGAATGAAATCACTGCAGAGCCCAAGCTTTGCAGGTATTCCAGAAGGATAAAATCATTCATTGTATCCTTAATAAGTGTCATATCTAATTTTAGTTACAGAATTAACAACCCTTTTAAAAACTGCTTGAGCCAAAGGAATAAAAAACTATATATCAAATCAATTTACCTGAAATTCATTTCTGGAAGGGGAAAATTGTTTCAAAAATATAATTTGTGTTTCCCCCCCAAACATTTAAGGAAAACAATATGGCTGATTCATTATTAATGGAATGTAAAATAAATTGTAATGCACAGCATCCAGATTCACACATGAAGGATTTAAACTGTCTACTTTACTATGTTCTACCTATAGTACAAGAATCTGCCCAGATAACATCCCTTTCCTTGGGAATAATAGATAAGATTAACCTGACTCTATGGTATTTGGGGGGAGGTCAAGTCATTGTGTACACACTGAGGCTAACTCCCACTTGATCTCTCCTCCTTTCCTGGTTGGGAGCTTCCCAACATTTTATTATTTGTTTATGTTAATATATACTCTATTTAGATGCCATTCCTCTTACTCACAGAGCACCTCTAATTAATAGATTAACAGAGTTAGGAGCAGTGGTGGGATTCAGTGTATTTGCACTGTTTCACCCAAACTGGTAGCTAATTGCTTGTGCAGTTCAGAGAACCAGCTAAAAATAAAGTGCAAGATGGGTTCCCCTCCTCGCTTCAGTTAATAACTCTGGGCTGACAGCCAAGAACTACTTAACAGGCTACTTCGTTGTGATAACAGCTGATACATGCCTTGAATAAAGTCAATAAACAACAGAAACTGACAGGATTAGGGCAGGGAAACATCCAGGAAACCCATCAGTCATTCATCTAGGGATGGGATTAACCTCTTCCCTTCAGGAAGAAGGACAAGATTACAAACATTTTACAAACATGGTTTGTAAACTGTTTACAATAAAACAGATGGTTTTACAATTGGTTTACAAACATTTTACAAACACTTTTGGTGGATGTCTCAGCTCTCCTCTCCCTGAGATCCTCTGCTTTTCGCACCCTTGCCTCCACCTTTCTGTCTTAATGTAGCTGCTTAGTGATTTCTGCTGCCATTGCCTGTCAGTTACATGATTGTGTTTATCTGATGTTTTTCCACATAACCCAAGCATGTGAGACAAGTAAGAATTTCACAGGCTATGCCATCATTAGAGGATAAACCAAAAAGTAGAGAAAAATAAAGTGGATAAAAATGAAATAAATCCAGTAATGTAAGCCATGTGACTAGGCCAGTGATGGCTAACCTTTTCAGCTTGGTGGGTCAAAAATCGGGAAAAAGTGTAGCCTTCCTCGGGTCGTGTGTCACTTCAAGAAATATCAATAATTTGGTTTATGACGGACTGGGCTGGGGTGATCACACAGGGCTGTGAAACTCGTCTCCCTGGTCTCAGGGCTGCAGGTGCAGGATGTGGGGATCGGAAGGCCACCTTACAGGGCTGTGAACCTCATGGATCTCCTTTCCTCCTGTAGCGTTCCTGAGGTAATGAAACTGACAAACCTCAGTTTATGGCGGTTAAAACTGGTTCTCTGCTGCAAAGATCTTGCGGCAGCGGTGACACCACGCCTCCACGCAACAAGCAGGGAGCAGGGATTGGAGCAGAGCACAGGCAGCCTCTAAATGTGCAGGTTTTCCCCACACCAACAGGCGTGTCAGTCAAAGTGCCTCGGCGTGTCACAAGTGACACGCGTGTCATAGATTAGCCATCACTGGACTAGGCAGTCAGCACCCCTCTCCTTTAGAAGGACATCATTTTCACAAATGATTTCTTTATTTTGTTAGATGTTTATCCTGTCTTTACTACTTTATAAGGAACTCAAGGTGGATAACTTATCTAATATTCCTTGCTCCTCTTAGCTTCCCCACAATCACAATCTAAGACACAGTTTGGGCTGGCAGAAAATGGCTGGTCACTCAGTCATTTTTTCAAGCTTAAAATGGGATTATAACTCAGAGTCTCTTGGTTTCTAGGCCAGCACCTGAACCACTACTTTGCTTAAAAAAAGGAATGTCAAAATAACTTATAAGAATTGCATGCAGAAACAGGGTTGGAAGAAACAACTTGTAAAGCTGCAAACATCACAGATAATATTTCAGAATAATCTCCCATAGAATGATGACAGGGGTGGGATGCTAGAACCGGTTGTTAACATTCTAGGCAGTTTGGAGAACTGGTTGTTAGAAGAAATTACTGCCCTAATCCTGTAAGGAAGGCAGGAAGGAAACATTCTGGTGTTGCTTACAGAAACTGCCTCTCCGTTAACCCTTATTACATTCTTGGCAGGACTAGACTTCCTGTCTCTGGACTTTCTCTGGAGTTTTTTCCCCCTCCTTTGCTGGTACTTTGCTTGTGTGGAGTGACCACTGAAAAAAGTGATTTGTGACCATTTTTCACACTTACGACTGTTGCAGCATCCCCACAGTCACGAGAGGCCAGGTGAGGAGATGTGTGCCTCGAAGTGAGTGATGTTGAGTTGGCCATGCCCAGCCAGTAACATGACCACCAAGCCATGTCACCCAGTCCCATGACCACCAAGCCATGACCACCAACTAAGCCATGCCCACAGAACTGGTTGTTAACAAAATTGAATCCCACCCCTGAATGATGGGGGGGGGGACCACAAAAGGTTGTAACAAATAACAATCTGAGATGGACCTGTTAGTAGGAAAGGAGACTAGAATGAGCAATAATACTTTGCAACCTGAAGTCAAGATGTTTGGTATTTATTTGCACAAGGCAAGCATTCTTTTTATTTAAAAACTACTTGCTCCAGCAAGTAGTGACAAGAAGTGCCTGGAAGAGGAGCAGTGAGGTGGACTGGGCATGGCAAGGAGAGACTGGGCAAGATGAGGTGCCCCTTGACCCAGTCACATGACTACCCTATCCAGCTGGTCATTAGGGCAGAGAACCAGTTGTTAAATTATTTGAATCCCACCACTGATTGGAAGGGACCTTGTAGGTCATCTAGTCCTACACACCCAAATAGGAAAGACTACACCACTTCTACCAGATAGCAGTCCAGTCTCTTCTTGAAATATGCTATCACGTCTTCCCTGGACTTTCTCTTCACTACACTAGCCACAGCCAATTCCTGTAACCATTCTTCATTGTTATATATTGTTATAGCTGCTTATCTCAGACAGATTCTAAGTGATACACAAAACTATTTTAAAAAAATAAGAAATTAAACACTTTGTAGAGTATGCTTCAAAAAGGTTATAAATCAATTCATTTTGGCAGACTTTTTAGAAAAAAACATTATTATATTTTATTCTTCTAAAAATTGCTTTCAAATATACATTTTTATCCTGAGTGTATAAGTTTAGGAATATATTTGGAAATTGATTGGTTCAACTGTGCCTAAGGCAGGACTCTAGCCTTGTGGTTTAATAACTGCACCAAACTGGTCCTCATCCTCTACTATAATGTTGGTATAAATACTTCATGTATCTTCTTGTCTTTTTAACAAATTCTTTATCTTAACAGCAACATATATTTTGAAAGCCGTACTATTTTATGTAATCACTTAGATATGCCTGCTTTTCAGACATTTTGAATTCGTACCCTGCTTACAATTATTCCCGGGTTTTTTATAATCTTTCTATGTTAAATGATATTGAGCTACTCTTTGAACACCTGATCATTTAAAAAAAATCAATTACATTCAGAACCTACTTGGTTGAAAGTGCTGGGCCAGCTGATGGCGCCCTCATGAATGGTGAACATTTTGTCTTTAGCAGCCCAGGGATCCAGCTTCCCAACTTTCACTCGATGGAAGGATTGGTTGGGGAATGTGATCCAGTTCTCAATCTCTAGTCCTGTAATCAGTTGTCTGTTCTTATCAAAGGAAATTTCATTTTCAGCATTGTTGTTAAATGATATTCTTTGCAAAAAGAAGTGAAGCTGAATATGAAATAAATATGCAAAAATCAATTATGGATAATATATAGAGCTGTGTGATACCATGTTAATCTTTTTTATTTAAAACATTTTACAAATGTGGATAACATTCTGCTCTAATGTTCTTGTGTTCCCCTCAAAGATGGTTATCTGTGGTCCTATATTAAAAAAAACCACACACTTACAATCTACTAAAAAATAATTCAGCATAATATACGCCCAGAAAGCATATGTTAATATGTAAAAGTATAACTTATTGATTGAACCTGTTATTTAACAAATAAATGTAATCAAACTTGTATTTTTTTTGCAAGACTTTAAGATGCTTCTCCCCTGCTGTTATTAGAGACAGAATGATCAATGTAGATCGGATCACTTTAAATACGTTTTAAAATTAAACAACTATGCAAAGAAGTAGGGAAGGGCTGGACTTATTTTTCAAAATGTCAACATTATCTTTCTCTAATGTTAAAAAGGATAGTATTGCTGCATTTTGATTCTGTAAATAATGAAATTCAACCCCTCTCTTCTCACATCCTCTCTATCAATGAAAGTATTTTCAATCATTTTGCCTTTAAATAGCAAATGTCATTTGGTTCAACTGCACATTTTATTGTTTGATTGCTTATTAAATTTATATCCTACCTATTTCACTCTGAATCATGGCTCACATAATTGCCTTCTGGGCCTTTTTGCTAAAAAGCCTTCTTTGTGCACAGCTTCTAGATTGTATGCATAATTTGTCTGAGCCCCATGTTTAAACAATTCTTGTGAATTTATACATTTTGCTTCTTGAACCTTATTCTTTGCACAATCCACTTTAAACAATCCATTAAATTTAAGACTGCTTTTCACTATCTTTATTAGCTCTCAATTTATCTTCTGACTGTCCTTTCTTGTATACAGAGAAACCTAATTTAAAAGGAGGCTGGCTATATTCTCTAGCATAAACTGAGGACAATGAGCAAGATCAATTTAGTACCTTATTTCTAATGTATGCACTAGAATATCAGAACTTTCTGGTAGTGAATTTAGAATCATAATAAGAAATATTTCTACTTATATATTTGCATCCTATCTCTTAAATACATTCTCAGTTCTTGAATTTCATGCACATACTAATTTAATTCTCTTTTCTTATGCTTTTATTTAATGGCATCTATAAAAATATCTTTAACAAGGCATTTTCCTTTTCTCATACAATGGATTTCCAGATATGCTCAGATTGATCTAAATCTTATAGATGAATCAAGAAAGAGCTGTGCAACCCAGGAAGATCATTCATGCTGCTGTGTCATTTGTAGTTCTTTGAATCTCACTCTTCATTCATTGATCTTTTTTTGTCTAGACAAAGGTACTTGTGGCCTCAGATGCATATTCATTTTGAAAAACCAAATAGAAACTTTTAGTTACCCCAGTTCCCACATTATTAAAAGTTTTCCATTATATTCCTTGTTTTAGGCACATACCCATATTGACTGAAATACTTCTGAGTATGTTTCTCTTCAAAAAAGAGACTTAACTTGAACAAGCAAGTTATTGTAAAGCTTGTTACAGGAAATAATGCACATATATGTAGGAGGCATAGGCAAAGGGTGCACCACAACTAGCCTACAACCTATCACAAAGAGAGATAGAGTGAGCTGCGAAGTTCAAAGCATGAAGGAAGTACACTGAATTTACCAATTCCACAAAAGAAAAGAAATAAGGAAGAAATCAGCAAGTCACTACAAAGTTTCCATCTACATCTCACAGCCCTTTGTGATCAGATGTGAGATACACGAGAATCAATGGCACTCAATTCCCATTTCCAAATTACCTGCCATGGCTGGGCATCCTGAAGATTGAGTTTTCTACCGCTCAGCTTTCTACTATGTTGTTGTGCCAGTTTCATGGCATGCAAAGCATGTGCCACAGTATACACTGCATTGTATATACTGTAACTATGACTAGTCATCCTCATTTCAAAAAAAGCCCCAGGAAGAGCCTCCAGTTTCTCCCTCCCTGTACACAAATTATCCATTTCCTCATTCTCAGATGGATTTGGAAAAACACAATCAAATGATTGCTCCCACACGTTTTTGATAAAACCATCTTCTTTTGAAGAGAAATGGTTTCTTGTCTGAAGAAAATGTTGGAATCCTGCAACTTCATTTGAGTAGGCTGCAATTGTCAGAGCACCGTGGAGAACTTGGATATCCCAGCTTTTCTGATAAAAAAATGATGCAAGACCCACTTGAGAAGCCACAATCCATACCTTACCTTCTGGCTTTACAGAAACTATTTCCATTTCAGGTAGATGTAACAGCCATCTTAAATTTAAAAGATAGTTATCGCTGATTATGATAGCTTTGGCTTTGCTGTTAACAAGAAGATGAAATGTTTCAACAAGCCATTTCAGATTATCAAAAAAAGTGTTGAAATAAATTGGTTTGAATTGTTCCAGGAAGGCAATGCAGATGCCGTTAAGAGACAACATTGAAAAGATTAGATGCTCAAATTTTCTTCTAAGGTATTTTACAAGTACTCCAACCCAAGTCCACTTGAAGTGCAAAAGTATTTGAATAATCCCCGTATAATGAACGTCTTCACCTGGAACTAAGTGGTAGTAGAAAGGGCTTTCATTTGGAGCAGAACCAGTTGGGAACTATGGAAATAAGAATTGATTGTATGAGAATGGGAAGCACTTTTACACATTTATCAGATGTTTTAGAGGCCACAAAAGAGCATTCTCTGAACCTACTTCAAGAATTAAGGTCTTGAGTGACCTGGAGCAGACTTAGGCAGGCCACAGGGGCTGTTAGCACAATACTGATTGAAGGTCAGCAGCATGCAGCAGATTCTGGGGAATGGTGGGGCCAGGGGTGGGCTGCTACCAGTTCACCCTGGTTCGGGTGAACCAGTAACTATTTTTTCATTTTTAATTACCAGTTCAGTGAACTGGCAAATCTGACCCCTTGGTTGGCCTCACATACACTGCACTCCCCTTTCAAGAGTCTCCACATGGCTTAGAGCCCGGGGAGCTGAAAACCCCCACCACCACCATGGTGCAGGAGGCTGACTAGACCATGCCCATGCTCATGCCCACCCTGTAACCAGGCAGAGAACCAGTTACTAACATTTTTGAAGTCTACCCCTGGGTGGGACATAGCAATAATCACACAAGGTGGCTGTTTTGAGTGGCAGTCGTGACATTAGGGATTAGGGATGAAGTCAGGGCCTGGGCTTTGACTTTAGCCCAGTCTCAGTTCTTCTGCTGCTGAGTGCTTCTCTTCAAGGTGGCCTAGATATGGGGGAGAATGGGAGATAGATTTTTTTGTTTGTTGTTTGATGAAGGGAGTAACAAGCCAGCAGAATCAAGTTAGCATTTTCTGAATTTTTTAAGATCCCAGCCCCAAAATGTTTGCCACCGCTGCTTTAGAATGTTAAATTGGCCAGGAATTACATTGCATCTCCAAGGATAGTCCTGTCAATTCCTCTTCAATTTTCTGTTCAAGTTAAGATGAGATACTGGGGGAAAGTGACAATACATCAAGAACAAGACAGAATTTCTGTTGCACTATAACTGCTAACGAGGTTTCTGATTCTGCCTTACATGGAATCTCTAGTAATTATTTTATCTGGTTTTAAGTTCAAGGGTATCTTTCCCTGCGCTAAAATATATTGTTTGCCAAGATTTAATGCTGGATTCCTTTCTAATAGGGATTCTTTCATCATTCATCTCCTTGACTGATAGCCATACTGACAGCCATACCCTTTAACTTCCATCATGATTACCCTGCTTTAAAACAAGTATGAAATAAGCTTTGGATGATGAGCAAGAAGAACCTGGTACATGTTCTCAACCATTGTACACTTTGGGTCAGTCCCACCTTCTTAATATAACTTACCTTATCTGATAATTGTTCAGAAATATATAGGCTGTTCTCCCTTACTGACTGCTTTGACCATTTGATGTTATAATGGTTTTAAAAAGGTTTTTGACCAATCCTTGCATTTACCATTTTTACAGTTTTTGACTAATCCTTGCATTTACCATTTTACAGCAGCCTATGGTCATGTGATCATTTTTGGGGAACTTACAGCTGGTGCATGTTTATGACCATCACAGAATCCCATTTCACAGACTTCACAACTGGCTTCCAACAAGCAGAATTAATGGAGAACACAGAAGTGAAATCACAAGTCATGGTAAAATGATTTCTTTCTACACAGTCATAATGATTTGGTTAATGACAGAAGCAGAGATGAGCTTATATGTCTAGCATGAGCATATGATGTGTCAATTAACAACTATAGTGCTTAGTAAAAAAGTGGTAGGTCTCAATTTAACCACCAAGTGAGGACTACCTGCAAAAAGCAAAAACACTACCTATGTCTCCTTAACCACCTGAATGAAAGGCAGGATATAAAAATAATTATAAAAAACAAAAATTAAATGTAGAAACATTAATATTTTTATCATAGTATTAGCAAATAATAGGATATTACAAAAAATAAGTTTCTGTATAATAGTTAATGATTAATTAAGATTAATGAATAATCTTTGAAACTCAGTAATAGTCAAACCAAATTCTGAGGTTGAATTTGTCTTTATTTTATGATATATTAAATACTTTCTCTTTAATATGGTCCATAGAGACCATATCATATACATAATGTGTATATGAAAGTCAATTATATCTTAAGGTTTTGTAAATGGTAAAGACTGCAACGACGACACCATTAAAGCCAACATCTTTAACACATTCTTCGGCTCAGTATTTGTAAACAGCAATGGATCATGCCCAGTATTTCCTAGCCGTACCACAGATAACAACAATGATCTAATACATATCGATTTTACAGAAGACAATGTTGAAAAAGCACTACGCAATCTAAAACCATCTCTATCTATTGGACCGGATAGAATATGTGCCTACTTCTTAAAAAAGCTATCCACTGCCATAGCCAAACCTCTAAGCATAATCTTTGAAAAATCTTTCAGGACCAGCTCCTTGCCTAACCTATGGTCACAAGCCACAGTCATCCCCATCTTCAAAAAGGGAGACCCAAGCCTAGTTGAAAATTACAGGCCAATCTCCTTATGCTGTGTCACCTGTAAAGTCATGGAATCAATTATTAACCAATCCATCATCCTCCACTTAGAGACAAATAACCTACTCTCCAATAAACAATTTGGTTTCAGAAAAAAACTATCCTGTAATCTGCAACTCTTACACTGCAAAAACATATGGACGACACAACTCGACCAGGGCAAAGCAATAGACGCAATCTACATAGACTTCTGTAAAGCCTTTGATTCAGTGGTACACGACAAACTACTCCTAAAAATAAAATCCTATGGTATCTCTGGACAACTGAATAACTGGATAGAAGCATTCCTGTCAAACAGACAACAAATGGTCAAAATCGGGAGCGTCCTATCAAATCCAGTACCTGTCAATAGTGGTGTTCCCCAAGGCAGTGTTCTAGGACCAACTCTCTTCATACTCTACATAAACGACCTCTGTGATCATATTAAGAGCAATTGCGTTCTCTTCGCTGATGATGTAAAGCTGTTCAATACCACAGACAATACTGCTACCCTACAAACAGATCTTGACTATGTATCAGAATGGTCAAACAAATGGCAACTTCAAATCTCAACAAGTAAATGCTCTGTCTTACATATTGGCAAAAAAAATCAGAAAATAAAATACAAGCTGAATAGTCAAGATCTTGTTGATGACTCAAGCTCTGTAAAGGACCTTGGAATACTCACCTCTAATGATCTAAGTGCTAGAGCCCACTGCAACTACATAGCCAAAAAGGCATTAAGAGTTGTTAACCTAATCCTACGTAGCTTTTTCTCTGGTAATATCACACTACTAACCAGAGCATACAAAACATTTGCTAGACCAATACTCGAATACAGTTCATCAGTCTGGAACCCACATTACGTATCTGATATTAGCACAGTTGAGAAAGTCCAGAAATATTTCACAAGAAGAGTTCTCCACTCCTCTACTCGTTGTAGAATACCTTATGCCACCAGACTTGAAATTCTAGAACTAGAAAACCTTGAATTACGCCGTCTTCGGTCTGATTTAAGCATGGTATATAAAATCATACATTGCAATGTCCTACCTGTCAATGAATACTTCAGCTTCAACCATAACAACACAAGAGCACACAATAGATACAAACTCAAAGTTAACCGCACCAAACTTGATTGCAGGAAATACGACTTCAGCAATAGAGTGGTCAATGTCTGGAATACTCTACCCGACTCTGTAGTTTCTTCCCCAAACCCCAAAAACTTTAACCTTAGACTGTCTACTATTGACCTCACCCCTTTCCTAAGAGGTCTGTAGGGGGCGTGCATAAGCGCACCAACGTGCCTACCGTCCCTGTCCTATTGTTTCTCTTATTCTTCTTTTATTTTTCTTATATGTACCCATTTCATGTATTCACAACTATGTATACACTTATACTTATTATCTTGTAAACAATTGGCAAATCAAATAAATAAATAAATAATAAATAATCTCCTTTATCTGAAAAGACAAAGACATATTATTTAGGAAGTAATAGTTATTGCTTAATTTTAATTGATTTTTCCACATCTTACCTGTGGAACTTTGTAAGAGTCTAAAATATCTACCATATCAAAAGTGATTCCAGGATCAATAGTTCCAATAACTGTTATGAGTTTGTTCAGGATGCCACACTGGTAATTGGGAATTAATTGGTTCTGAACAGAGAAAAGTTCCAATGTAGCATGATATGTCTGAGCCCCAGCATAGCTATCATAGATTCTGAAGCCCAAAGTGATATTAGGTAAGAGCTGGAGGTCATCATTGATCTTCTTCACAGTAAATATCATGGTCAATATATGTTGATAATGCTTAGTGAGGACTCTGCCAAAAAAATTAGAATCAAAGTTGTATCAAATGAAATTCTCCTTCTAAAAAAGACCAGTAAAAATAAACTCTTACAAAAATCTTACAAACTGATAATCAATCTTTCATGTTAACATATTAATGGTTAAACTCCATCAAAATAATTATTTAGGAGGTAATAGTTAATGTTAATTTTAATTGATTTATATAATATTATAGATAGATAGATAGATAGATAGATAGATAGATAGATAGATAGATAGATAGATAGATAGATAGATAGATAGATAGATAGATATAGAGATATTGTGAATTATTTTTGAAGAGAATAATGGCAGTTTTTTCTATCCCTTTGATAATTGTAACCAATTCTAATTATCTGAAACTGACCAGAATCATTACCAAGAATGTAACATAGCATTGTATAAATGGGAAGTAAAATTGCATTAATCACTTTTTCTTACAGGTGGTTTCATTTTAAGGTAAGTGATTGCAAAAAAATAAAATAAAAAGGGGGGGAAGCAAATGTAGCACAGAATTAGTATTTAGTCTTATTTCAAGAAGAGACCTTCCTATATCTTTTTGAAGAAATGTTGACTTTTAAAGTACCACAAATATTTCGCATAATTCAGTAATGTATAATTGCAGCTAAACCCAAGTTCCACGAGTTAGCTGGTGTTAAAGCTAGTTTGCCCCCCACAGTGCACCAAAGATAGGTTCACAAGCATTGAATAGAACTGCCTGTCTCATTTTCTGAGATAAAATGTTTATTTATTTTTTGTTTATTTCTATTCATCTCACCAGGAGGTGATGCTTACAAACAAATAAAACAACAAAATAAAACATTAAATATTAAAATAATAAATATTAACTTTAAAATTTACTTAAAATTTAAAAAAATGGTTAGGAAGGGAGCAATACACTGTATCTCTGTCTGAACATACTTATTCCCATAGTTCAGTGCAATTTCACATTTTTTTACCAAGTCAGTTTTAGAGGCTGATGCTGCAATTTTCATTCCCAGGAGAGTGGGGAGTGGGAAGGAATGCAATAGCCATGAAGTTGATTTTTTTTTAAAAAAATAAGGAACATAGATTCTAACTGTGGGTTTTCTTTAGAAAATATAAGAAAATAATGTGTAAGCTAAAATTGTCATTCATTTCTGGAAAAGAGTATTTTAATCAATCTAGATAATTATGATTTTTAAAATAGAATTTATCTAGGCTGATATAGACAATATAAATAAATAATGTCTTACAGGGATTCACCAAGAAGAGAATGATGGGGATCATTCTCAAAGCTTCCCACATCTCTAGTTATGAAGACAAAAGAAGTAATTCCACCAATGATTAGATCACCTGGTTGGATATATTTATGATCAATTGGGATAGGATCTCGTATTCTGCATTTTCTTATCTCAGTTTTGCTAGTGACATGTGGCAATTGCTGCAGGAAAAGAACCATTACTATCATAAAAAAGAATAATCCCAATTTGATAAAGTCTCTCATTTCCATGTAATGCTCAAGTATCACTAAAATTTGACTAGGTTGAACTGAACCCCTCTCTGTTCTTATAATGACTTTTATTCTGAATCTTAAAATACAAATGGTTCAAAGAATTAATTATAATAATAACCTTAGCTGCCCCTAAACCCCAGATTATTGTCAGCATTTTTTTTTCATTCTTTCAAGAATAATAATTTTGTCAATCAGCAATTTGCTGAGAAGCAAGTTTAACATTTTTTTTGATAATTATAAGGGAAGAGGAAATTGCAACCTTCAAATTATTACTGAAGGAGTAAGGTAGAATTAGTCAATAAGTTATCATGTAATGAAAAAAAATATGGTTGGAGATAAGCAGAAATTAGATGGAGTCAAGATGGAGATATTCATGTTGCATTCTACATTTTAATTTTTTAGCAAAAACAAAAGTTTAAGACAATGTAAGGGAATAATTATATTTCTTTACACCTTTATAATCAGGTGCTTCCCCCCTTTCAGTTGCCTTCACAGTTGCAGTAATATCCTAGGAAATACTTTTTTGGCTTGAGGTGCTTGCCTATTACCATAAATAACAATGCAAAATATCATCAATATTTGAGGTATGGTAGTGCAGGGATTATAATGCTGTACTGCAGGCTACTTCTGCTAACTGATCTAATTAAAAACAATTCCGAGTAGGATCTCAACATTAATTTTAAGTTGCTGAGCAGAATGATTCCTAAATATCTCAGGGCAACTCACACATAAATGTATACCACTTACACACATTTAAACTAGGCAAACATATGTGATTAACATTAACTACGAATAATATTAAGATTATCAGAATGATTAAATATTATTTATAAGGGTGAATAATAAGGACTCTTTGAAAATCCAAAAGGCTTTTAAAAGCCCTACCCTTTTTATTTTCTTTATCCCTGTATGGAGCAATTCTGATGAAATCATTTGAAAAGAAACAAATGTGGATAAGCAATCCTTTCACTACAACAAGCAGCATTATTTTATTCCATTGCAGTGTGGAAAAATGTTCAATTTCTCTTGTTTAGAATAACAAAATATTATAAAAATCTTAAATCTAAATATATTTTCTAGAATATTGATTGATTAATTCATTTTAGTAACCATATAGATGTCTCCATGTTGATCTATCCCTAACTTGTTCTTTCAAGTCTCCCAAATGGTACAGTTCTCACTGCTATAACCATTTACCTCGCTGGTTGTTCTTTCCTTTTTCCTTCCATCTTTCCCAGCTGGTTTGGTTCTACAACCCAATAGGACAGACACAGACTTCAGAGGATAATTTGGACTGCAGAAAAAATAATTACTACCCACCTGCCTTCAATTGAGGACCTGTATACTGCACGAGTCAAAAAGAAGGCTGTGAAAATATTTACAGACCCCTCACATCCCAGACACAAACTGTTTCAACTCCTACCCTCAAAACGACATTAGAGAACATTGCACACCAGAACTAGACGCAAGGACAGTTTTTTTCCCCAAACGCCATCACTCTGCTAAATAAATAATTCCCTCAACACTGTCCATCTATTTACAAAGTCTGCACTACTATTAATCTTCTAACCTTAATCACCCATCCCCTCCCGCTTGTAACTGTATGACTGTAACTTTGTCCCTTGTTTCCTTACAATTTATATTGACCGTTTCCTAGTATGATTTGATTGCTTATTGTACCCTATGACTATTTTTAAGTGTTGTGCTTATGATTTTTGATTCTTGATGAATGTATCTTTTCTTTTATTTATACTGAGAGCATTTGCACAAAGACAAATTCCTTGTGTGTCCAATCACACTTGGCCAATAAAGAATTCTGTTCTGTTCTATTCTATTCTATTCTATTCTATTCTATTCTATTCTATTCTATTCTATTCTATTCTATTCTATTCTATCCTATTCCAACAAGTTGGGTCTTTATCAGAGTATATTCATGAACTGGAATAGAACTTGGTAACAAGGTCAGCCAATGAATAGGCATAGCAACTAAATCAGCCAATGAGGATAATTTGGAAACTGAAACTAGAAGTAGCCTAGGCTGGAAACTGAAACTAAAAGTAGCCTAGGTGTGGCTCTATTATTAAGCTCTGCAACTCTGCAGCTATGTTAAGCTCTGCAACTCTGCAGCTATGTTGAGCTCTGAGTCTGTCTATTGAAGATGAAACTAACTTGCTTGCTGAAGACTAGAGCTCTGCTCTGAACTTGCAACATGATTCTGTTTGAGCTTTCTCCATTTTGGAGAAATTTACAACTGGTTTGTAAAATCTAATGTTTATAAAGATATTAAATGTAGCATCAGCCATCTGTTTTTATTTTTCTGGTGCTGAATCATCGCTGTGAAACTCTCAATAGGTTATGGGCCCAGAATGCCCAGAGAAAAGACTGAATTGTAATTAAAGCTGAGAGACTGACTGTTTTAAAAGTAAGAAATGTTGAAAGGTGTCAAAAATGCCTTTCTTTTGAGGATTCGATTTTCCCGCTGGGAGAGCTCCGGCACAAGGATACGGACAACTGCTTGGAAGCTGGATCTTTTTATTTTTCAGGAAGGCGGAGAACAGTGAGAAGTCTGCGTTCCTGGGCTAGCTAGCTTCTTATGGTAAGTCCCTGCTTTTTTATACCCTTTTCTCTCTTTGTAAGTTGATTTTGTGTGAGTGTTTGTATTTGTGCCTACTGTTTCAAATCCTGTTTGAGTTTGTCTTTATTTCCGTCGGAGGGCAAACTCCGCAGGATGCGGAAGGCAAACTCCACTGGGTGGCCAGATTGTATTATTGGCTTTCTGTAATCTCTTTTGGATAGTTTTTCATATTTGTCCTGTCTGTCCCTTTTGTAATTTATATTTTGTGTCTTTTGTCTGTTTGTTTTGCTTATTTGGTATGTCCTGTGTTTGTAAGGGTTTTCTAAATTATCTTTTGTTTCCTTTTCCTATTTGTCTAGTTTTCTTAATTACTTAGGCTTTTGTCTATAGGGATTCTTTAATACCTTTATTTGATTCCTTTTCCTATGTAAGTTTGTTTTCTGGCTGACCTGATGTTCCCCTTGGGCTTTTCCTGTTTTTTTTTTTTTTGTGACACTACTGCCTTCGTGAAATTCCCTTCCCACAGAAACAAGGCAAGAGGCTTTGCAGGATGGCTGAAAAAAATTAAAGAAAGCTCTCTACCCAGTTTGGGTCAGAAGAACTATATTATTTGGGCTGCAAAGATGGAATGTTTCCTGAAGGCAAAAGAGCTTTGGAATATTGTTGAAAATCCACCCCAGGCACCATTGAATGCTGCAGATCAGAAGCTGCATGATAGAGCATTTGCTTATATCATCTTAAGTTTAGAAGATGATCAGTTTATCAATGTAGCTGATTTAAAGTCTGCAAAGGAAGTCTGGGATAAATTGAGGACTGTTCGTGTGAGTGTATCCGCATGCAACATCATACAATTATCAAGAAAGTTATATAGAGCTTGTTTGCAGTCAGGAGATTCAGTGGAGCAGCATTTTGTTCATATGCAAACTTTGTTTGTGGAATTAGAACAACATAGGATGAGAATACTGAATCTCAGAAAGTGCTCTTAATTTTGTACATCCTAGATCAGGGGTCTCCAACCTTGGCCCCTTTAAGACTTGTGGACTTGTGGACTTCTCAGGAATCTCCTCTAACACCAAAGTTCCAAGACATCAATACATTTCTATTCTGTTTCATTAAATCCCAACTTTTACTTCCATACAATGTCACAGGTAATTCCATAGCTTGCATAGTTTTGAATTTTGTAGGTTTACACCACCATACTTGAATATCTTTTTGAAGTCTTTATAGCTGCTGTACAAAGTACTAGTCTATAGAATATTTCTTGATTGCTTGTTTCTTTACTGTTGATAATTGATCTAAAAGACAGAAGTTACCCATCTTTTAAAAATATTTTCACTGTCAAGTCTAAGGCCAGTTGTTCTACTGTTGTTATTAGTATTATGCATAATTTTAGCCCCCCCTTTTTTTACTGTGTCATCTGATTTTTAATACTTGCAGATTCTTCACATTTTTCACTATCAGGTAGTATAACATGCAATTAAGAAGCTCAAACAGAAATGCCAAGTTAATTTAAGAAATAATTAAAGAATTGCCAAATTTGAATTGACAAACTAGAAACTGGATTAGAATTAACCCACATATCCCTATTACAAATCAGTTGTAAAATATACAAATACATACAAATTACGCAAGTCTTCTTATTAACTGATCTTTGTTATTTAATTGGGGTTTCAATAAAATTATGAAGCATTTGGGGAAAAAGTACAACCCAACAACCCAACAGTAGAGGCTAAGATTGAGAAGATCTCCACAGCTACTGTTTATTTCCCCTTGGAACTTAAATAAACTGGAATAAAAGATAACCATACACTACAAAAGACCAACATGCTGAAAGTGATGAATTTGGCTTCATTGAAAGTATCTGGTAAGTTTCTGGCAAAGAAAGCTATAGTAAAACTTACAATAACTAGGAAACCCATATAGCTTAGGACACAATAGAACATAATCAAAGAGCCTTCATTGCATTCCAGTATTATATATTCAACTTCTGAATGCATGTCAACATCTGAGAAGGGAGGAGAGGTTACAAGCCATATGGCACAAATACATGTTTGAATCAAGGAGCAAGAAAGTACAATGGAACTCCCCAGACTTTTCCTCATCCATTTTCTCATGCTGCTTCCTGGCTTGGTGGCCATGAAAGCCAGAACCACTGTGATGGTTTTTGCTAACATTCAAGAAACTGCTACTGAAAAGATGATTCCAAAACTCATTTGTCATAGGGGACATGTTATTTTTGTGGGTTGGCCAATAAACAACAAACAACAGAGGAAGCAAAGAAGGAGAGAGATGAGAGAATATATGTGAGATCTCAGTTATTGGCTTTGACAATAGGAGTATTGTGATGCTTTGTTAGGGATACAACACCCTA